GCAATGCACTATTGTCGAGAGGGATCCGACTCAGCAATCCCTCCTTGGTCCTCCGAGGTAATCTCACTAAGGAAGTAGGTTGCCCAATCTTTTTCCCTAGGTCAAAGAACTTTTTAAGTAATCAGTGATGGTTAGAAATATATTATGAAACAAAACTTGTAGGAAGCAGCATGAGTTAAGAATTAAAAGAAAATTTATATCCTTTAATGCTTGTATTTTAAGAAAAAAACCTGGAAATTACTGAGGTAAGCATTCACCTTAAGAATTAAAAATAGAGGCAAGTGAAATCAGAAAGAAACCGTAGTAAATTTAAGAGGCAAAATTAAGAACGAGATTAGAAAAAATCTACAGAAGACTGATTTTTTTGAAAACTAATATAATGAGAAAGTTAGGCGGAATTATCCAGAATAAAAAAAGGTGGAAATAAACAATATTGGAAATAAAACTAGGGAAACAATGATAGAGCAGTTTTAACTAGAAACCAGCAGAATGCAGAAAAGTCTCTAGAAGTGTAGGCTTCCAGTTTGGTTTGAACTCGGCCTTCAAAAAAGTAAGCATTTTGTTATCATACTATCCCTCCTTCCTTCACCTTACGTTACTTTCTTACCAGATTTTCCATTGCATAAAATGCCACTTCTCATCCTTAGTTAACAGTTTTTCAAAATCCCTTCAGAAAAATTAATGGATTTATTAAATTAAGCAGACTATGACTACATAGGAATAACCTCTCTCCCAATACTCTGTACTTTAAACAAGCTTTGCTCTTTTCCTTCACAGAAAATTTTTATTCTCCCACATATGTATACTGAAATTTAATTTATAGTCTATGCCAAGGTTCACTAAACTTCCCGGTAATGCACCAGAGAGTTAATATCTTTGTATTCAGGGCCCATTTGATCTCTTTGATAACTCTACCGTGTATCATGTAAGCACCAAAAACAATCCACAATAAAATAGGTTTGGCTGTGTTCCTGGGTGGGGTAAAAAGTTAATGCCCTTGGCTGCTCACTGAAAGACTGGAGGTTACAACAGGAACCTTGGAAGAAAGGCCTGACAATCTATTTCTGAAAAACCAGCCACTGATTTTTACTCTGGCACACTTTGGGAGTCAGAACTGACTGGCTGGTGTTCCAATAAATTGTATTTACAAAAGCAGATAGCACATTAGATTTGCTTCACAGACTATATTGGTCAACCTCTGGTCTATGTATATATTGATACTTGGTCTTATAATTCGGTCACAGAATTCCTTTTGTCATATGTACTTATGTTATCAATTTTACTTGTGCACTTTGTGGAGTAATGTATTGTTGTGGAGAGAAAAGCATTATGTATTAAAACTAGGCAAATCTGTGTTATGTCCTGTTTCTACCTCTGACTCTGTCACACAGGGTCACTATGAGTCAGAATCTACTCAAGGGCACACAAGAGGTTTCATTGATTAAGTTACCTAATGTCTCTCAATCTCAGGTACTTCTTAAAATTATAGACTAATATGAAACTTTCAGGGTTCTTTTAAGAATTCTTTTATATAAATAAACTGCTTATCAGTACCTGGAGATGTATTAACAAATATTAAATCTTCTCCACCCCTTACGGTCTCCCTGTTATGAAAGGTCTCTTTACACATGATCTTCATCCTACCTGCATACAATAAAATATTTTAAGAATGCTAATGTTGGCTTCATGACTGAAAGAGCTAACCATATGTAGCAATGGACATAAATGAGAAGATACGCACGCAGCAAAGCATAGTAATAATCTCATTATTAAAAAGATTTCATCAGAAAACTGGAGTACACACTTTGTAGAGATATATTTCATATCAAGTAAACTGGAAGTTATTTTGTTTTGTTTTGTTTTGTTTTGCTTTGTCTGAGTTCCATGGATACTCCAATTTTAAACTTAAATGAATAAATCAGGATAATTTCAATGCAAGTTGAGGTGATGAAAAATTATATAATTAGTACCAACTAGTCGAGTCTGACTTGAAAGCACATAACAACAACAACAAGCAGTTGAAAGGGAGCTCTGGTAGCATAATGCCTAAGGCATTTGACTGCTAACCAGAAGGCTGGCGGTTCAAATCCACCAGCCACTACTTGGAAGGAAGATGGGGCAATCTATTTCCATAGTGATATCGCCTCATAAACCCAAGGAGGGGTCGCTATGAGTCAGATATAACTCAATGGCAATTGGAAGCAGTTGAAAAGGAGCCCTGGTGGTGCAAAGGTTAAGCACTCAGCTGCTGACCAAAATGTTGGTGGTTCAAACCTACCCTGCAATTCTGTGGAAGGAAGATCTGGCTATCTGTTCCCATATCTACACAGTCTAAAATATCCTAAGAGGCAGTTCTACTCTGTAACATGGGGTCACTATGAGTAAAAAATCAACTATATAACATCTAACAACAAGAAGAAGCTGATACTAAAATCATAAGTAGGTAAATGACAGACTTAAAAGGAAGCTTTCCACATTTATTAAAGAAATATTCTGTATAAGAACCTCTGGTGACACAATAGTTAAAGCATTTGGCTGCTCAACAAAAGGTCACTGGTTCACACCAGCCACTCCATGGGAGAAAGGTGAGGTAGTCTGCTTCCGTAACGATTACAGCCTTGGAAACCCCATGAGGCAGTTCTACCCTGTTCTGTAGGATTGCTATGTTTTGAATTGACCTGATGGCAGTGGGCTTGGGTTTTTGTTTTTATATTTCATTTATACATGTTGCAAAGCACTGCTCGTGTAATTTTATGGAATGTTTCCTAATATAAACAACTTTGCATTTGTTACTTTCCTAATGATAATATATCTTCTTACAATTTAATGGAAAATAAGAGATAACTGGCAATGCTCAGAATAGAAATAATTTATATCACTGATAAAAAGTAACTAAATTATATTAAAAAAGTAAAAATACATTTGAAAAGAGGTCATGGTCCACCAAAAGACAGAGATATACTAATATTAATTATAAAATTATTTTAAATTGTGATTTTAGTAGTAAAAGCAAAATATGAAGATAGTAGAAAGATAGGCAAAGGACCTGAACAGACATTTCACCAGAGAAAATATTCAAATGGCCAGCAGGTGCATTTTTCATGAAATGTTCAAAGTCATTAGCAATTAAACCAAAAACCAAGCTAAACCTATGCCCATAGAGCTGATTCCAACTAGGAGATGTAAATCAGTGAGGTAACATCTCACTCCCATTAGAATGGCAATGATTGAAAAAAAAGAAAAGTGTGTGTGGAGGAACATTAGTTGTTGGCAAGGCTGTGGAGGAACAGAAACTTTCATCCATCGCTGGTGAGAATGTAAAATAGTACAGCCACTGGGGAAAACAATCTGATGATTCCTGTTATGTGACCCATCAATTCTACTCTTAAGTATGTACCCAAGAGACCTGAAAGCAGGGATAGGGAGAGACACATACACACCACTGTCCACTGCAGCATTATTCACAATAGCCAAAAGGTGGAAATGACCAAAATGTCCATCAACAAATGAATGAATGAACAAATATGGTGTATACATACAATGATATATTAGCCATACAGAGGAATATAGTTCTGATGCATGCCACAACATAGATGAACCCAGAAAATATTATGCCGAGTGAATTCAGTCAATCGGAAAAGGACAAATACTGTACAATCTCACTTACATGGAAAAAGCAAATATAAAGAAAACAAAACTTACAGGCATTACCAGGAGTGGGAGAAAGGGGGAAAGAGGGAGTTTTTGCATAGACAACACTGGGTTGGTGTTAACGATGGTGGAATAGTTTGGAAATGGATGGTGAGAATGGTTGCACAGTCTGAAGAATGTAATAATGTCACAAATTATACATATAGAAATTGTTTAAAAAACATTATAAGAACTGATAAAGGGAGTAGCTCAGTTGGGGGTAAGTAGAAAGTCAACACAGAAGTAAAATGTGAGCTAGGCATCCAGGGATACATCAAGAGAACATCCATTGAGAAACTGCATTGGCAAAGATATGGGCCTAAAAACATACGTTGTATTTAAGAAACAATTTCTTTAGGATGATACTAGAGCTCAGGAGGCAGTTGGGAAGAGGTGGGAGGAGAGGCTGGGCAGGCAGTGTGGGTGTACACACCAGGCGTGCCAGCTGGAGAGAGAGGCCATAGCACTACTGGGTATTAGAATGCCTTTATTCAGGGAAGTAACATAATAATAAGATTTTAGACATATAACTCCGCAGAAATGAGAAACATGGGTTGTAAGGGGGAAACACTAGAAGGATTTGAAATTGGTTTCAATTCTAATAACATGTTAATTCGATAATAACTTTTACCACAAATAAAAATAAAAATGTTTAAGTAGCACTGGTTTGGTCATAATGACTCACGCACACATTATTTTCTGTCTGGTCTTAAAAATGTGACTTTTAGTATAAAATAAAAGGTCAGCAAAGGAATCAAGTAAATAAGATATCCAAAGTCAGAACCAGAAATAAGGATTAGGAAAAGCAATCTTAAGAGTTTATTAAGGAAAATATTTCTCATTAAAAATGCTGTTTCCATTCTAAATCCCAAAAATTTTCTTTCTTTTCTTTTTTTTGGGGGTGGTGGTGGCAATGGCGGCATGGTCTATAAAGATATCAGATGCTTTTCTAATTAAAGCAAGTGCCTTGGATTAGATATACATATATTTCTTCCAGACTAGCAGTTTTGACCATCAGAAAATTAAACCAGTCCTGAATGGAAAACGTAGGACTTCATCCTGAAACATAAACCCTGCAGCTGAAACACAGCCTTTTTCCTTTGTAGAAGCATTCAGATACCAGGTGGTTTTAAACTTTTGACTTCAAAAGCCAGGCACAAAAAAAAAAAAAAAAGGTACAGTAAAGCAATCCTTACTGAAGGCAGAAAGAAGATAGTTCCATGTTTCATGATTTTTAATCTGCTCTTTATCAGAATAGCTGAGGGTCTGGATTGTAACTATACACTTAGATTAAAAAACAATCACCTTACCTGCCATATGTCAAAATGTTATCAAGAAGCTCTCCATCTGAGTGAGACCTGATTTCCAACTGTCTGCCACGGAGCTTTTTCCCTGTGTAGTGCCCTATCTGTTTCAATAAAAAGACACCCTGTATTTCCTGATATTTCCTTTCATAGCCTATTTCCTTTAAATTCAAGATATGTTCCTCTCATACCAGCAGAGGGAGGCCTGATCCACTTCCTGAGCTTTGAGACTGTTCAATTAAGTCTCTCAAGGATTCTCCAGGAGGAATGTAAGTCTCATCCTGTTCTAACCCAATGCTGTACCGAGGTCTGGTTTCTTGTCTTTTATACCTAAAGATGGAAAAAGTAATATAATTTTAGTCAGTAGAATGTAATGAATGATAGGGGTAAAACACTGCAGATAAAACAGTAATCACTGCTAATTTTATTTTAGCACAGGAATTAAGACTAAATGATTAGTTATTTGCTACACTTGGTTACAGTTTCCAAAATAAATCACAATTATTTTGCTAACCTACATATTTTTTAATTAAACTACAAGTTCTTTTTTACATGTTTTTACTCAGTCTCTACCATATACAATTTGTCTTTTCTATTTCTTTCAATGGCATATGTACAGACAGGCTACATTTGTTAGTATTCCAATATTTATTCCTTGTTCTTAATCCATCAAAGATGCAACATTTTGGTTTATAAAGGACATTAAAGTTAACTCTCTCCTGTAGGGTAATGCATAAAGAAATAACATATAACTAAAATAAAATGATATCTTACCAACTTTTTGTCAATAATTGCAACATCTTCCATTAGAAATGAACTTACTTGAACCAACTAATCTATCCATTTGAAGAGCAATATTAGAAATACAAATAAGTATTAAATTACTCAAAAGGTAAAGGATATGAGTTTAAAGGGTCTTTGATACTACACGAAGTAGGATATAAGTTCTCAGGTGACAAAAAAAAATCATACTTAACAATGATAATCTATTAACAAACTGATTTTTAAAATAATTTATCTACATATTATCCTTACAATCTTTCAGTACTAAGGAGAAATTTTTAGCATAGATAATAAAGAATTTCTAGAGTTAAGTTTGGGAGCTCTGGTACGTAGTACCTAAGGCACTTGACTGCTAACCAGAAGGCTGCAGTTCAAATCCACCAGCCACTCCTTGGAAGGAAGGTTAGGCAATCAAGTTCCGTAGTGACAGCACCTTAGAAACCCAAGGAGGGGTAGCTATGAGTAAGGTCTGACTCGACGGCACATAACAACAACATTAACAACAGAGTTAAGTTCAACAAAGCTTAAATCAAACCTGCTTAAAATCAAACTTCAATAGCAACCAGTACCCTGATTTCCCTGTTGTTGTTGTTGTTATGTGCCATCGAGTTGGACCCCATTCCCTAACTACCTTAATTTCCCTAGGGATAAAATTTATCTGTGTGGTTTAAAACCACATTTTTTAATGTGTGAGGCAGAAATGAGATACATATCTATTTACAGCTTCACTGGAACAAATATTTATCAATTGTAACTGATTTTTTAGTTAAATACAAGATCGAATTAGGTTCAAGAAAGCTGTGATGAAAAACTTAACCAGGCAAACCCCATGCACTGCCATCGAGTGGGTTCTAGCTTATAGCAACCCTTTAGTAAAGAATAGAATTACCCCATAGGGTTTCCAAGGCTGTAAATCTTTACGGAGGAAGACCACTTCATCTTTCTTGCACAGAGTGGCTGGAGTAGGCGCAAACAACCAACCTTTTGATAAACAGCCCAATGCTTTAACCCCAGCACTACCAGAGCTCCTTTCACTAGGCAAAAGCTGGTGAAATATACAAGGAAGATACCTCCAACTCAAAATTCTAAAATTACATGTTAGAAACTTACCTGAAGTAACAGAATAAAATGACAAAGACCAAGAGCAAACTACAGACAGTCACAGATATCAGTAAGGCCTTGTGGTGTATAGGTCCATCAACAAAGTCTGAAATTAGAAAGTAAAGGGAGTCATAATACTAAAAATATTTTCACTTAAAAATTAGGAAGCATCTCTTACTAAAAGTACTTGTTAAGCTCCATAAGCAAGATGTGAGAGGTACTTGCAATGCGCTATGTGATGAAAGGGAAAAAAAAAGATACATCTAAAATTAAAACAGTTAAAATGGGGTGAATCATCACTCTACTAGGTGCTTGTTTTAAGAGCACTTGTTTAAGGGCATGTGTTTTTTCCTCTCTAGAAAGCATAGGCTTGACATCTGATAAAGCCACAAATTAAGAACAAATGTCAGTAATCTACACCAAACCAGTTGCCGTTGAGTTGATTCCGACTCATGGCTACACCATGTCTTGCAGAGCAGAACTGTGCATACGGTCTTGAAGGGCTGTAGCCTTTTGGAAGCAAATCACCAGCCCTTTCTTCTCAGGTGCTTCTGGGTGGATTTGAATCACTACCTTTTGGTTAGTAACCAAGAGCTTTACCATTTGTACCACCCAGGAAACTGCAAATGAACTTCAGCCCCCAAAATGCATATTGGTAGTTCATTTATATTCCATACCCAGATAATGGGTTCATGAGCTTTTCTTTTCTTTTTTTTTTTTTTTCCATGAGCTTTTCTACATGGTTTCTAGGGCACATTTTATCACAATAAGGCTTAAAAACAAATCCATATACAAGGTACAAAGAAGACAAAGTTAGCATATGATGGAAACAAAGGGGCAGGATTCCTCAAATGTTCCCAAGTCTATGACATATGAGTCTGAACCATTTAAACAAAGATGTCCTTTAAAAGTATGTAGATCAGTTTCTCATAAATAGCATGCAATTTTTAAAGAATGGACATGTTTTCAAGTTAAAGAATCATTGAGTGATACTTTTAGAAAACAAATTATGCAATATTTTTCATTTTGGTTTAACTCCAACCAAAAAAATAAACCAAACCTATTGCCATTGAGTCAATTCTGACTCATACTGACCCTGTAAGAACACAGTAGAACTGTCCCATAGGGTTTCCAAAGCTGTAAATCTTTAAGGAAGGAACATGATTTCTCAAACTTTATATAAGTAAGAATCACTTGGACAACTTTATATCCAAGTAAATTTACTGACTTCAACCCAAGATATTTTTAATCAAAACATTTTCTTTTTTAACACTCTTCTCAGATGATTTTCTATGCAGGTGGTTTTCAGAACATCATTTGAGAAAACCAACTTAAAACCAGGTGCAGTTACACAGTTATAGATTATCCTAGCACCTTTCTTATTAAGGGAACCATACATCCTTGAGAGAGAGAGAGAGAGAGA